CCTCGCCCCCTTGTCCCCTCGCCGCTGTCAGGGTCATCATCCCAGCCCGAAGCCTTGGGATGGTCCGACCCCTTCCCTGCCTTTATCCTGGCGTCTGGTCTCAGCGAGTTCTTTCTGCGCTTCCTTCCAAACTCTGCTCCACCCGGGAGTGGGACCTGGCGCAGTTCTTCCCCTCCGCCCCCCAGCCCACCACGTGAGAACCGCAGCGTGTCGGAGGGCAGCATTATTGAGTACTTGACCCCGCCCCTCTGCGCACGCTCAGCTTCCCGGGGCCCTTCTCCGTCCCCCCACGAGTGACACAGCACTGCCGACTGTGGTGGGTGCTCTGGAAGCGGCTCCTCTTGGCGACCGTGGACGACCTGGAATTGGTCCAGTCTACCTGCCAGACTCTCCTTCATGACATTCAGCCAGCCTTTTTAGTTAATTTCCCTCTTATAATTTCCTGTTGACTGACATTTTCTTCCAGTCGTGTAAGCTAATGCCAAATGACCAGAAAGTTACCTTTTCATCCACAGAGGTTGAAAGTAATTTTCTTCCTTTGATGAACAATGAGGCTGTGATGTGGATGTGGTTTTTGTTAGGAGTATGTTTTTGTTGGGAAGATGTTGTGCTTATTTGGCTCCCTTCAGACTTTTCTCATTGCCTGTAATTCAGTAGTGTTGTGCACACAGCTTGTTTCTTTCTCCACACTTTTAAAAATTATAAAATATGCATAATATCAAGTTTACCGTCTTGACCATTTTTAATTGCAAGTTCTGTAGTATGAAGTGCTTTCATATCCTTGTGAAACCATCACTATCCATCTCTAGAACTCTTTTCACCTTGCAAAATTGAAACTTTATTATATAGTGCTGTGTCAATTCTATCTCAATAAAACTGAAAGAAAAAAGAATCTGCAGCCATTAAATAATAGTTCCCCATGCCCCCTCCCCCAGGTCCCTTACTAGTTGATAGGTCTATTCAGATGTTCTGTTTCTTTGTGGTTTAGGTTTTGTGTTTCTAGGAATCTGCACTCCATCCGGGTTATCCAGTTTGCTGGTGTACAGTTGTTCGTAGTACTCTTATAATCCTTTTTATTTCTGTGGAATTGGTAGTAATGCCCTCACTTTAATTTCTGATTTTACTTTTTGAGTCTTTTCTTAGTTCATCTAGCTAAGATTTGTCAATTGTTAATCTTCTCGAAGAACTACCTTTGGTTTTGTTGATTTTCTGTTTTGTTTTTCGGTTCTCTGCTTATCCCTGCTCCAATCTTTATTATTTCCTTCCTTTTGGTAGCTTTGGGTTTAGCTTTTTTTTTTTTTTTTCCCCTAAGAACTTTTTTTAAAAAAATTAGTATAGTTGACTTATGTTGTGTTAGTTTCTGGTATCCAGCAAAGTGGTTTAGTTATACACATATATGTATGTATATTCTTTTTCACATTCTTTTCCATTGTAGTTGAGGGTTTAGTTTATTCTTTCTCCAGTTCCTTAGGTTGTAAAGTCAGGTTGTTGATTTGAAATCGTTCTTGTTTAACTGAAGTGTTTATAGCTGTACTTTGCCCTTAGCACTGCTGTGCTTTGCATCTGTAAGTTCCGGTATGTTGTGTTTTCATTTTCATTTGTCTCTAAGTATTTTCTAATTTCCCTTGTAATTTCTTCTTTGGCCCATTGATGAAGAGTGTGCTGCTTAATTTCCACAAATTTGTGAATTTTTTGTCAATTACAGATATTTAACTTTATCCATTTGTAGTCAGAGAAGATATTTTGTATGATATTTATCTTTTCAAATCTATTGAGATTTAATTCATGGTTTAAATGAATTCATGCCTAATGATTTAATTTAATTCATGCCTAAGGGTATGGTCTGCCCTAGAAAATGTCCCATGTGCACTTAAGAGGACTGACTGTGTGTGCTGTTGTGTTGGGTGAAGTGTTCTGTATACGTCTGTTAGATCTAGTTAGTTTGTCGTGAGGTTCAAGTCCCATTTCCCTACTGATCTTGTGTCTGGTTGTGTTCATTATTGTGAGCGGCATGTTGAAGTCTCCAGCCATTATTGTAGAACGGTCTGTTTTTCCAGTTCTGTCAATTTTTGTTTCGTATATTTTGATGGTCATTAGGTGTGTAAATGTTTATAATTGTATCTTCTTACTGGATTGAATGTCTTATTAATATAAAATTCCTTCTTTGTTTCTTACAACCTTTTTTGACTTTGAGTCTGTTTTGTCTGATGTTAGTACGGCCACCCCTGCTCTCTTTTGGTTACTGTTTGCATGGAATAACTTTTCCCATCCTTTCACTTTCAGTCTATTTGTGTCTTTGGATCTCAAGTGAGTCTTTTGTAGGCCGCGTAAAGTTGGATCATGTGTTTTTATCCATTCTGCCAGTCTCTGTCTTTTGATTGGAGAGTTTAATCCACTTACATTTGAAGTAATTACTGGTAAGCAGGGCCTTAATTCTGTCATTTCCCAACTGTTTTCTGTATGCCCTTATTTTGCCATTTTCTGCATTACAGTCTTTTGTTGATTTTTTTTGTAGTAAAGTGTTTTAATTCCTTTCTCAATCCTTTTTTTTTTTTTTTTGGTATATTCTATAGCTATTATCGTTTTTTGTTCCCATGGGGATTACATTTAACATCCTAAAGTTATAACACTAATTTGAATTTATACCAGCGTAACTTCAATAATATACAGAAACTCTGCTCCTGTATAACACTTCCCATCTCCTTTCAGTTATTGATGTCACAAAACTACACCTTTATACATTGTGTATCCAAAAACATAGATTAGTTGCTATTTAAAAACAAATGCGTTAGTCTTTCAAATTATGTAGAAAGCAAAATGTGGAATTATAAACCAGAGTTACAGCAATTCTAGCTTTCTGTTAGTACTAGCTTTGGACTAATTTTTTTTCCCTCTCTAAATGTATTAGTCTCTTGAATTATGTAAAACAAAAAGAGTTACAAAGCAAAGTTCCAATAATACTGGCTTTACAGCTGCCATGTGTTTACCTTTACTGAGACCTTCATTTCTTCCCACAGCTTCAAGCTGCTGTCTGGAGTCACTTCACCTGCAGGACTTCTTTAGCGTTTCTCACAGCGTGGGTCCAGTGGTCACAAACTCCTTCCGCTATTGTTTGGGAATGTCTTAATTTCTCCTTCACTTTTGGGGGACAGTTTTACCAGATATGGGATTCTTGAGTTACAGGTTTTTTTCCTTTTAGCACTTTGAATATTACCAGCAGGCTGCTCTTTGTCCTTCAGAGTCTCTGAAGAGAAATCTGCTGATACTCCATTGAGGATCCCTTGTATGTGGTCAGCTGCTTGTCCCTTGCAGCTTTCAAGATTTCTCTGTCTGTGTTTGGCTTTCTGTGGTTTGATTATAATGTGTCTTGGTGTTGGGTCTCTGAGTTTCTTCTGTTTGGAGTTTGTTGAGTTCTTGAATGTTTATATTTATGTCTTTCATCAAAATTGCTAAGTTTTTGACCATTATTTAAAATACAGGCACACCTTGGAGATAACGCAGGTTCGTTTTTAGACTACCTCAGTTAAGCAAATTATCTCAGCAAAGCGAGTCACGCGAATTTTTTGGTTTCCCACTGAATATAAGTTATGTTTACATTGTGTTGTAGTTTATTAAGTGTGCAATGCCAGTATGTCTAAAAAAAACAATGTACATACCTAAAATAAAAAATACTTTATTGCTGAAAAATGCTAACTGTCATCCAGACCTTCAGTGAGTGATAATCTTTCTGCTGGTGGAGGGTCTTGCCTTAATGTTGATGGCTGCTGACTGATCAGGGCAGTGGTTGCTGAAGCCTGGAGTGGCTGCGGCCGTTTCTTGAAGGAGACAGCAGTGGCGTTGGCTGTGTTGACCGACTCTTGCTTTCAGGAGTGCTTTCTCTGGAGCAGCCATGTTGTTTGATAGCATTTTACCACAGGAGGGCTTCTTCTAAAATGGGAGTCAGTCCTCTTAAACCCTCTGCTGCTTTGTCAGCTGAGTTTATGTAATATTCTAAATCCTTTGTTATTTCAACAGTTTTCATAGCATCTTTAAACTTCAGGAGTAGTTTCTGTCTTAAGAACTTTCTTTGTTCATCCATAAGAAGCAACTCTGCATGTGTTAAAGTTCTGTCGTGAGATCACAGCAGTTCAGTCCCATCTTCAGGCTCCACGTCTAATTCTGGTTCTCCGGCTGTTTCCACCACATCTGCCATTACTTCCTCCGCTGAAGTCGTGAAGCCCTCAGAGTCGTCCACGAGGGTCGGAATCAGCTTCTTCCAGACTCCTCTTAATGTTGGTATTTGGACCTCTTCTCACGAATCACGAGTGTTCTTGATGGCATCCAGAACGGTGAATCCTTCCCAGAAGGTTTTCAGTTGACTCTGCCCTGATCCGTGAGAGGAGTCACTGTCTATGGCAGCTGTAGCCTTTCGAAATGTATGTCTTAAATAATAAGGTTTGCAAGTCGATGTTATTTCTGTGTCCGTGGGCTGCAGAATAGACGTTGTGTTAGCAGACGTGAAAACGACAAGGATGTTGTCGCACATCTCTGTCAGAGCTCTTGAATGGCCACGTGCATTATCAATGAGCAGTAATGTTTTGAAAGAAATCTTTTTTTTCTGAGCAGTAGGTCTCAACAGTGGGCTTAAAATATTCAGCAAATGATGTTGTAAAGGGATGTGCTGTCATCCAGCCTTTGCTGTTCCATTTATAGAGCACAGGTGGAATAGATTTAATATAATTCTTAAGGGCCCCAGGATTTTTGGAATGATAAATGAAGATTGGTTTCACCTTAGGGTCACCACCTGCATTAGCCCCTGACAGGAGAGTCAGCCTGTCCTCTGAAGCTTTGAAGCCAGGCGCTGACTTCTCTCTAGCTATGAAAGTCCTAGATGGCACCTTCTTTCAGTAGAAGGCTGTTTTGTCTGCATTGAAAACCTGTTGTTTCGTGCAGCCACCTTCATGAGTTATCTCAGCTAGATCTTCTGGAGAACTTGCTGCAGCTCCTACACCGGCACTTGCAGCTTCACCTTGGGCTTCTGTGTTATAGAGGCGGCTTCTTTCCTTCAACCTCGTGAACCAGACTCTGCTGGCTTCTGACTTTTGATCTGTAGTTTCCTCACCTGTCTCAGCCTTCATAGAAATGAAGGGAGTTAGGAACTTGCTCTGGATTGGGCTTTGATTAAGGGAATGTTGTGGCTGGTTTGACCTTCTCTCCAGACCACTCAGACTTTCCATATCAGCAGTAAGGCTGTATTGCTTTCCCGCCATTCGTGTGTTCACTGAAGTGGCCATTTTAATTTCCTTCCAGAACTTTCTTTGCCTTCAGAGCTTGGCTGACTGTTTGGCACAAGAGGCCCAGCTTTCAGCTTATCTCGGCTTTCGACAGGCCTTCCTCACTCAGCTTAATCATTTCTAGCTTTTGATTTAAAGTGAGAGATGTGCGACTCTTCCTTTCACTTGAAGCCACTTAGAAGCCACTGTAGGGTTATTAGTTGGCCTAATTTCAGTATTCTTGTGTCTCGGAATAGGGAGGCCTGAGGAGAGAGAGAGAGAGCACGGGGAGCAGTGAAGACACACACCGCATTTATCAATTATGTTTGCCATCTTATATGAGCACGATTCTTGGTGCCCCAAAACAATTACAATAGTAACATCAAAGATCACTGATCACGGATCACCATAACACTTAAAATCATAGTGAAAAGTTTGAAATATTGAAAGAATAACTAGAATGTGACACAGAGACACGAAGTGAGCAAACGATGTTGGAAAAATGGTGCTGATTGACTTGCTTGATGCTGGGTTGCCACAGACCTTCGGTTTGTAAAACATGCGGTGTCTGTGAGGCGCGGTAAAGCGCAGCGCGGTAAAGCGCGGCGCGCCCGTAGTTGCTCTGCCCGTCTTTCTTTCTTTCCTTCCTTCTCTGGGACTCCCACAGTGTGCGCCCCACAGACCCCTTAGGCTCTGTTCTCTCTTCTCTAGTTGTTTTTCCTTTTATCCTCATGCTTGATAATTTCCTTTGTCCTGTCTTCAAGTTTGCTGTTTCTTTCTTCTGCTTGATCAAGTCTGCTTTGAAAATCTGAAGTAAATTTTCCACCCAGTTATCATACTTTCCTGCGCGTTTTCTTTTAGTTCTTGGAGCGTGTTGAAGGGTTTGCTTCAGAGGCTCTGTCTAGTCCCCCATCTGGTCCTTCTCGGGGATGATTTCTGTTGGTTTATTTTTTCCTTGAATCTCCGTTCTCTCCTGCACCTTCGTATGCCTTGTGATGTTGTTGTTGAACGTTGAACATTCGAATCTAATAACGTGACTCTGGAAACCAGGTTTTCCTCTTTGCCAAGGTGTGCTGATTCTGTTTATTGTTTTCGTTGTTTTGATTGTCGTAGGCTGTGTCTGTGCAGAGGGTCAGGCTGAGATGTAAACTCGAGGTCTTCTCAGGTCTTTCTGAGCCTGCGCCTCTCCTGGTCATTTTCAGTCAGTTTCTACTTTTCTACTGGTGCTGAGAGCTGAAATGCACCAGTATTAACCACACTTTACTTTCACACCTTTCCCTGGAAGTTGTATGCCTTCAGTAGACTCCAGAGTTCCAAAATAGGTACTCAGATGGAGTCTGTCAGTGCAGCAGTTGTCCAAGTGGGAGACAGATTGCTGGTCACCCTTGTCCCCATCTGCCCAGAGTCCCGTATGGCCCTTTGTGTGGTTTTTCACGGTGCCATCTTGTGCCTTTCCCCCCAGTGCCCGAGATCGTGAGGGAGACCCAGGACCTCATAGAGCAAGGGGCACTGCTGCAGGCCCACCGGAAGCTGATGGACCTGGAGTGTTCCCGGGACGGGCTGATGTACGAGCAGTACCGCATGGACAGCGGGAACACACGTGACATGACCCTCATCCACAGCTACTTTGGGAGCACACAGGCGCTGTCCGACGAGCTGGCCAAGCAGCTGTGGATGGTGCTGCAGAGGTCTCTGGTCACCGTGCGCCGTGACCCCACCTTGCTGGTCTCAGTTGTCAGGATCATCGAAAGGGAAGAAAAAATTGACAGGCGCATACTTGACCGAAAGAAGCAAACTGGCTTTGTTCCTCCCGGAAGGCCCAAGAACTGGAAAGAGAAGATGTTCGCCGTCCTGGACAGAACCGTGACCACGAGGATTGAGGGCACGCAGGCGGACACCAGGGAGTCTGACAGGATGTGGCTCGTGCGCCACCTGGAGATCATAAGGAAGTGTGTCCTGGACGACCTCCTCGTCGCCCGGAGCCTGATGGTGCAGTGCTTTCCTCCTCGCTACCAGATTTTCAGGAGCCTCCTGAACGTGTACCACCAGGCTCTAAGCACGCGGATGCAGGAGCTCGCAGCAGAGGACCTGGAAGCAAATGAGATCGTGAGCCTGCTGACCTGGGTCTTAAACACTTACACCAGGTAACTCCACCTGTGTACCTGGCATTTCCTGGGCGCGAAGCATACTGACCGTTTCTAAACGGCTGCCGAGTCCTCTTGCTCAGGGCGTTGCCTTCTGGCTGACGCGTCCCTTTTTGGTCCATCTGTGACCCGAGGTCGGGCCCGGCCCCTGGTCGTGTGGACGCTCTTGCATTTGGGTGGTGCCCATCCCCTGGCCGGTCAGTCCGTAGTGAGCAGTTCGGCATTGCGTTTCCTGCACTCCTGACCCGCCTTCTCACGGTGACACTGAGAGCAGGTGGTGTCACCTGTTGGACAGGTGAGGACACGTGGACCCAGGAGGCCCTGAGACCTGCACAGAGTGACGTGCTGCTGAGGAGACACCAGCTTGCTCCTGCTGGCTTCTGACCACCCGAGTCTGGTTTCTTCTCACCAGCATGAGAGGAAAATCAGCTACCCTTTGGCACTTCAGCCTAAAAGGGGTGTGAGCCACTTTGTGCAGGCATTACTTTGAGGTAGGGTTTGAAAAACAAGCCAGTGTGGTGGGGTATTCTGAAATTCTTCTAGGATTAGCTAGCGAGAGGAAAGCACGTTTTATTCTAGCCTGTCTTGTTGCTAGTGTGTAGAAATTAATTAAACCTCTCGTTTTAGCAGTAAGGTTTTGGGATTTTTTGGGTCTGTGTTTGTTTGTTTTTTGGTAGCTGCTTGTGGTAGAGAATATGTACATTTCAACACGGAAACATATAAAGAGAAAGAAAACATCGTATTCATTGTGGCTGGTGCTGTCTCTGCTTTCCCGTGCTGGGCCTGGGCCTCGGCGCCTCCTGTGTGCCGCCCTCCATTGCCGTCACGTGATCCTGTCGTCAGGCCACCCTCGAGGAAGACCTCTCACCATCATCTTCGTTTTGAGGCACAGGGAGGAACACGCCCAGGGTCACACGGCCTCGGGTGGGGGGCGCGACTTGAACTGGGGTCGGGGCCCTCACCGTGCTCCGGCCACCAGACCTCGGGGTGCGCATTTGTGTGACCTGCATGGTTCTAGGCCTTGATTTTGTTTTTCACTCGCCACGTTGTAAGCATTTCTCTGTCCTTGGCAGTTCTTGACAGCTTCTTGTTGGTCACCACATCCTTTCGTATTGCAGTTTCTTATGGGAAAAGTTGGACCGCTTTCACACTAGAAACATTTTCATGCGGAGTTAAGGTTCTCGGGGCAGAAATAATCTAAGTTGTAGATGGTCTCTTAACATTTGCAGAATCTCATGAAGTGCTTTTTCACTCAGGAAGACCTTGGATGTCTTAGGAGCGGTGGACAAGCTGTTAATACTCAGGATTGTCATTCTGAATCCATACTTAGGGAGTCATCCGAGCAGTCAGCCTTGGACGTTTAGGAACCCAGCCGCGTGCCTGGCTTTTATCTGCTTTCTATGAAAACTGTTTTCTGAAGCTTGGTTCACATCCCTCCCTTGTTCAGCCCCATAGGCTGGAAGTGCTGACACTTCACTTGCTGACTCGCGTTTGGTTGCGGGCGTCAGGTGTTCTCCTCTCTGGTCCTTGTCCTGCTGGACCGGCGGTGTTAGCGCCTGTGCCCTACGTTTCTCAATTCAGTGCTTGTCTGTTGTTCTCCAACTCATGGGACCTCCTACCTGCCAGCCCCTGGTCTTCCTCGGGGCACCGTGGGTGGAGCCAGCAAACCTTGCCCTGCAGGCCCCTGGGACGGGGAACTGCGCCACCCACCTGAGGGCTTCCTGTTTCCCCTTCCCGGCTGTGCCCGCAGTGCAGAGATGATGGGGAACGCAGAGCTGGCCCCGGACGTGGACGTCGGGGTCCTGGAGCCCCTGCTTTCTCCAGACGTGGTCGCCGAGCTGCTCGACACCTACATGTCGACTCTGACAGTGAGTGGAGGGATGTGGGCCCACATGTGCCGAGTCGGGCTGCAGCGAGGACCCATCTGGCCGTCGGGCTTCCAGAGGACGCGCGGCTCTTTCTGAGAAGTCGGGTCTGGAGGCGTCCTGGATGTGCCGTGGCGCCTGCCCGCCTCACGGCGCTGAGCCTGGGAGTGGGAGGGCGGCAGGCGGCGGGGGGTACCGCCCAGTGCCCTCGGAGGTCCGAGGGTGCGATGAGGTGGTCAGGTCTGCTCCTGGGATGCGGGGAGCCTGACACCAGGCAGCCTCTGACGGAGGCGCCGAGGCCGTGCTGCGACGCACGGGCGGCTGGGGTAGCGGCCGTGGGGTCTGGTCTCCGTGAATGGCCTGCCAGAGGCACGTAGGTCTCGTGCTTCCCTGTCCTGACTGACCTGGCCTGTCCTCCAGCATGACCGTCGTCCAGAAGGTTAAGCTGAGGGAGGCTGGCGGGGTCCCGCGCGTGGAGGTGGCTTGTCCCCTTGTGTGGGGCTTGGGATCCCCAGGGGGCGGTGTTTGCTTCTGCAGCTGCTCCACTGAAGAGCAAGCGGCCTGTTGACTCCAAGCCTGGTTCTGTTCTTTCCTCTTGCTTAGTCAAACATCATTGCCTGGCTGCGGAAAGCCCTAGAAACAGACAAGAAGGACTGGGTGAAAGAGACTGAACCCGAGGCCGACCAGGACGGCTACTACCAGACGACACTGCCCGCCATCGTCTTCCAGGTACCGGGCCTCGGGCTTCACAGATGCACGTAGTTGCGTGCTGCCGGCGGAGAGAACCTGCTTCTCTCTGGAGCTGCGGAACCAAGGGTCAGACTTGCCAAGTAGTTTTGCCCACGGCTGCAAAACCTAGTGTTTTTTGTTCTCCTAATGTTTTTTTTTCTTTTCTTTTTTTCATTTATCTTTGGCTGTGTTGGGTCTTCGTTTCTGTGCGAGTGCTCTCTCTAGCTGCAGCGAGCGGGGGCCACTCTTCATCGCGGTGCGCGGGCCTCTCACTGTCGCGGCCTCTCTTGTTGCGGAGCACAGGCTCCAGACGCGCAGGCTCAGTAGTTGTGGCTCATGGGCCCAGTTGCTCCGCAGCACGTGGGATCTTCCCGGACCAGGGCTCGAACCCATGTCCCCTGCATTGGCAGGTGGACTCTCAACCACTGTGCCACCAGGGAAGCCCTCCTAATGGTTTTTGATCTCAAACCAGACGCTAATTATATGTTATGTGTGTCTGATGCTCAAATTTGAATTTGCTTATTTCCTGATGTAATGGCCAAGGTTTGTCTTCGTAAATGCTACACAATCGAGTCTAATCTGACGTACTTTGGGAGGAGTCTTTTAGGGTTTTAGTGTCATCGTGCATTCTTACAGGTCGTCTGCTCTCTTTGTCTGGCCTGTTCAGTCCCCTTCCTTTGAGAAACACTGCTGATGGTAGGAGGGCCGAGCCGCTTTAGAGGGTTCTCCTGCTGACACGGAGCTTGGGCTTTAGCCAGGCCCTGGGTGATCCCACTAGTCCATGACATATTGGGCTTCACCCTTTACTTTATTTTGGAAGCTGACGTCCGGTGACCACGTGGGGTGAGCTCTGCCTTCTGGCGCTTCTCCACCTTCCCACGTCCGGCCCCCCAGCTCCAGCGTGTGCCCTCCTAGCGCTTCTTAAGAAACCCACATCGCAAACCACAGCCCAGCCCCTGGGACCCGTGCGACCCCAGCCACACCCTTCCTCCCCGGACCCCTCGTTTCCCTGTCTCCCCGTGAGAACATACGTGTCCCTCTTGTGGAGACCAGCCTGTTTGCAAGTAATTAGGAAATGATTCCCTGGGTTTTTTTTTTACCTGGTAAGAAAGTTTTGTGTGTTTGTTTAAGTAACTTTGTTATTTTCACCTGGCTTCATTTTTCCTCTGAATTTGGACTGTCCTGACTACCAGTTAACAGGTGGGGGGTTTATATAATGGGAAATCTGCACGCTCGTGAGTTTATATCAGAATTCATAAGTTCTCCGATTTTTAGATGTTTGAACAGAACCTTCAAGTCGCTGCTCAGATAAGTGAAGATTTGAAAACAAAGGTACTCGTTTTGTGTCTTCAGCAAATGAATTCTTTTTTAAGTAGGTATGTATTCTTGCCAGTGTGCTAATTTATTAGGTTCAGCTCCAGCGTGTGCCCTCCTAGCGCTTCTTAAGAAACCCACATCGCAAACCACAGCCCAGCCCCTGGGACCCGTGCGACCCCAGCCACACCCTTCCTCCCCGGACCCCTCGTTTCCCTGTCTCCCCGTGAGAACATACGTGTCCCTCTTGTGGAGACCAGCCTGTTTGCAAGTAATTAGGAAATGATTCCCTGGGTTTTTTTTTTACCTGGTAAGAAAGTTTTGTGTGTTTGTTTAAGTAACTTTGTTATTTTCACCTGGCTTCATTTTTCCTCTGAATTTGGACTGTCCTGACTACCAGTTAACAGGTGGGGGGTTTATATAATGGGAAATCTGCACGCTCGTGAGTTTATATCAGAATTCATAAGTTCTCCGATTTTTAGATGTTTGAACAGAACCTTCAAGTCGCTGCTCAGATAAGTGAAGATTTGAAAACAAAGGTACTCGTTTTGTGTCTTCAGCAAATGAATTCTTTTTTAAGTAGGTATGTATTCTTGCCAGTGTGCTAATTTATTAGGTTTTTTTTTTTTTTTTTTAATGGAGAGGAAAACTATGTTGATCCTAATCTGGCTAGTATTAAAAAAGAATTCAAGCCTGGATTCACTGTAGTCACCTTTTTCCGTTAGTCAGAACTCAAGCCCTTTCTTGTTATCTGCCTTTTGAATGGGTTGCATTCCCCCGGGGTCCTGGGTGTGATGGTGTGGGGTTCTCAGCAGTGGGCTGGTGCTGCTGCAGGCTTGGAGCTGGGGACCTCCTTCAGTCAGCCTTCCTGTTGTCCCATTTCCCGGGGTGCCCTCCACAGGGATGACCCCCCACCAAGTTGTACACAAAGAAGATTTTCAAATGTATACGGAAGTAGAAAGAACGGCCTAAAAACCTGTTTAGCCCACCATCCAGGTTCAAAAGCTGCCCTTTAAAGCCACCCCTTGCCTCATCTGGCTCTCCACCCCAAGTACACTTGACCCTTGAACAACATGGGGGTTGGAGGGGACAACCCCCTGGTGCGGCTGAAAATCCACATGTAAGCTTGCAGTCGGCGCTCCTGCCGTGGTCGCGCATCCACAGGTCAGCCAGCCTCGGCTCGTGTAGTGCTGCAGTGCGTGTTGGCTGAAAAAATTCACGTGTAAGTGAACCTGCACACTTCAAACCCACGTTGTTCAGGGGTCAGCTGTGCTTTACAGCAAATCCCAGACGTTGCGGCATTTCATCCCCTGCATTCCCTACCCTAACTGCAGTGCCGTCAACCCACCGAATCTGTCAGGAGCGTTCCGTGGGGCTGCCTGATACCAGGTTTGTGTTTGGGTTTTCCCACTGGTCTCAGACCCACCTGTTTATAGCTGTGTGTTCAGACCGGGTTGGCAGAAGGCCTGCACTCTGTGGTGCCGGAGGGCAGCCCCTCCCGCTCTGAGCCACTGGCTTGTGGAGATGCACAGACCCTCCTGTCCAGTGTCCTCCAGCCTGGCCTCAAGCTGCCGTCTGCCCACGAACCACAGGTTGGCTCTGAAGGCCGTGGGGCTCCTCCGTGTTTCCTTACTGCTTGCCCATAGCCTGCTCCTGTGGCTCGGGCGCCGACAGCCGGGCCTCTGCTTAGGATCCCCGTCAGCTGTCCACCCATGGGTCATGGCCTGAGTTAGTCATGCCTTGGTGTTCTGTAAAGTAGATGTTTTCCTCAGCAGCCTCAGCTGTGTGGTTGCCTGAATCATGCTTTGGACAGAGGGTGGAATAAATGCTTGATTACTTCCCTTTAATTGCCAGTTTTCAGTTTGCTCCTTCGTTAACATCTATTGAAAACGCATACAGATTCATGCGGTGTGTTGTGCTTTTCTTGTACTCCCATATATGTTTGACAGTCTCCATGGTAAATTAAAAAATGAGGTATGTAGCCATCTCAGTTGTTCTCTTGACATCTTAAAGAGTCTCATTTATTTTTAGTTGGATTTTTTCGGGGAAAGTCTCAGAAAAGGGCATTTCATCTGACATTTGATTGCGTTCCAAACACTATTGTATGAGTTTCTAGGTGAATCATATGTCAGACGAAATAATACTCTCCCAATTACAGATGTTTCAGAATATTTGTAAAATCAGAACACTGAGCCATATTTCAAAGCCTGATAACGAAATTAATTTTTAGTAATCTGTTTTAGATGATCAACTTCTATTAGCGTAGGTCATCCCCCCCGCAGAATCCTTTATTTTTGAAGACTCGTCTGGCCAGATGCTAGCGATGCAGAATGTGATTGTTAGGCTGCGCGTTGGCGCCGTGCTGCGAGGCTGCTCTGACGCGGCCGTGTGTCCCCCAGGTACAAGGAGGAAGCGCAGCTGTACAAGGAGGAGCACCTGCGGAAGCGGCAGCACCCGCACTGCTACGTGCAGTACATGATCGCGCTCATCAACAACTGCCAGACCCTCAGGTGAGCGGGGGGCCCTGCGGCCGCGGGGCGGGGGTGCTCAGCTGCCTCACCGGGGCCCTCTGTCTCCTCCTCTGTCTCCTCGCAGAGAATCCATAGTCAGTTTAAAAAGAAAGTATTTGCAGCATGACGCGGAGGAAGGCTTGTCTCTGAGCCAGCCGAGCATGGATGGGCTTCTGGACGCCATCGCTGAGGAGGGCTGCAGCAGCCTGCTGGAGGAAGTCTTCCTGGACCTGGAGGTGGGCGCCGCGGGCCAGGTCCCCTGGTGTGGCGTCAAGGAGAGACCCTTCCAGGAAGTGTTAGAGACCAGAGCACTCAACAGGTTACAGGGTAGAAGCTGGTATTGGAGAGGAGACTGGTTATGGCCATTAGCAGATTGTTGCTTGAGGGCACAAGCTGGGCTGCACGCCCATCACACAGCCGGGCTCGGGTTTGAGCAAAGGCACAGAGCACAGCCATAAACAAAGTGCATTCAGATCACATGCAAGGCGTGGTGTGTGTTGAGCAAGTAAGTTTATTTCAGAAGGTATGAAAATGGCTCAGCATCATATAGAATTGGCAGAAACCAGAATGTATTTAAAAAATAGAATCATGATCATCTTGGGTCCTGCAGGGAAGGAGCTCCCGGGGTGACGGGTGGTATCATTTCATGACATCTGTAATTTTCTCAGAAATGGTTTAGAAAACAAAGTGTACTTAAAAAGACAACATAGTAGAGAAATAGACAAAGGACATGAATAACTGTTTCACAGAACAAGGAGTCATGTGTCCTAAGGAGGAAACAGAGTGCCCAGTCCTAACTGCTCTTCAAAGACAAGCAAATTAAAACTGAATATTTTTGTTGCTTACCAGGACGGTAAGGATTAAGAACATTGCTACCACGTGATGTCGAGGGCATGAGACTCCTGTATTCCGTGTAGAACCGTGAATCGGTACAGTTACGGGAGGGCAGTTGGCACGAGTTTTGGAGGGCGACAGTCGTCAAGGTTGTAGTTTGCATACTGTCTGACTAATAACTTTTAGTTTCAGGAATTTCACCTGCAAAAATATACACGTTCACTGCAGCATTCTTTATAATTGCAAAATGAGACAGTTTAAATGTTCATCAGAATTGGGTGCACAAATTACAGAGCATCCACACAATAAGTAGGTATATAGTCAATTAAGGTAAGATGCGTACGCACAGATAGCTCCCTTGCATCTCATATAAGTCTTTACAGTTAAAGTACATATTTGCAGAGTTTCTGCATGAGCATCGCTGTTGTGATCAGAACATCAGGCGGGCGTAGGAAGGTGGCTCCAAGTGCCTCTCTCCCGATGACAGGCCGTCATGAGGGTGTTTTCTGTGGTCTGTGCTTTCAGCAACATCTCAATGAGCTGATGACAAAGAAGTGGCTGTTAGGATCAAACGCTGTAGACATCATCTGTGTCACCGTGGAAGACTACTTTAATGATTTTGCCAAAATTAAAAAGCCATATAGAAAGGTAAGAGTGTGGGGCACACGTGTGGCCTGAGTCCCCTGGCATCTTGTGTAGAATTTGGTGTCATCAGTTCTTGGGCGGAAGTTCACGGGTGGTTTCGTGAACCCAAGCAGGTCGGAGACGTTGCTGTCTGAAGGTGGCAGAGGTGGAGGTGATGGGGCATGCACCTTGCTGTCCAAGACCACGCTGACACGGCCGCAGACCCAGAACCCCATGGGTAGTGGGGACTTCCTCAGCAGGGACCCCTCAAAGGGCGGGTGGGGCTGTGGCCATGGCTCTGATGAGAGGCTGGGCAGGAACTGCAGTTCCCCCTTCACGTCCACGCTCGGGGGCCAGCGGGCGGCTCTCAGCACAGGGCCCACGGGAGACTCCAGGGTCCCCGGCCGTCGGGGTCCCCTCCAGGCCCCGTGAAATGCCCCTGTTCCCATCTGGGGCTCAGGCAGCTTCCGCGGGGAATTCTCAGGGCCTTGGGTGGTTTCTGCTGCTGTTGCTTTAAAATCCTGTTTGTGGTTTATGGAAGCGTCAGTGGTTTGACCCACAGAGCTTGGGTGCAGACACTTGAGGACGTGTCTCCAGGTCCTCTGGGCATCCCTGTAGACACTTGTCTCATTTGTGAGCAGCGTCACTGTGTCATTTCATTTCTGGTTCTTGTACCTTCGTGTCTTCTCTCTGTCTCGCTGCCCTGGCTGGGACCCCGCAGCACGGGGGGCATCTTTGTCTCATTCGTAAGTTTAAATTCTCCTAACCCTGCCATTAAAAGTGATGCTTGCAGGGAGACCCAGGTGTTTTAAATCCACCTGGTTGGTCGCTTCACAGCTGTCAGGAGCCTCTGGTGGTTAGAGGTCGGTGGGACCAGCTCTGTTCAATTTTGAATTTCTTGTTTTTTGTACAGTTTTTGGTGCCACCTTTTATGTTTCTCAGCATCTGTCCTTTGATCTAACAGCGGGTGTGTGAAGTCCTTGGGGCTTGTGTCTCAGCCACTCCTGGTCCAGATGGCTCGCCTCCTGGAGCGGCCGGGAGCCCACGGTCTCACTTGCTCTGCCAAGAGCCTGGCCTCCGCCTGTGTCCCTGCAGCTGCCGGGTGTCATCTCGCTTTGTCTTGTTTGGGGCCCTTGGGGTCCCCCTCACTGCCCGGCCTCCCTGGTACACAGAGCTTCTGATGTCTGTTCTTGGGACTCTGAGGCTGCGCCTTGTGTCAGCAGAGTCGTGCTCGCGTGTTTGTGGGTGGCGGCCAGGTGTCCCTCTACCTGTGGGTGGGCTCCGGAGAAAACCACGGCCTTCTCCAAAACTTCCCCAAACGTGTGGACTTGGGGCTCCTCCTTTCCCAGAAGCTCGTCACACCATCTCCAGACACTGGTCGTTGACTGGCCTCTGTGCACGACGTGTGACGTGTGTGGAGCCCTTCAGCCTGTGAGGGGCAGAGCGGGGCCTGGCCCACGGTCCCCAGCCCTCCCACTGAACCCACACCCCGCCCTCCCGGGCTGAGAAGCTGAGAGACGCGTGCAGGATGGGCACGGCGAGGAAAATAGACCCGGATCCCCCAGGGGGGGCCCGTGACCCACCAGACGGGTCTCAGTAAAGCAGGTGCCGCCCTGGCACCTGCCCCTTCGCCCCTGACGGGAAGCTGCTCTGCAGCGGGTCCGCTCCCAGAACGACGTGTCTGGCGGGGCTGCAGGCAGGCGTCCCCGCGGCATACTTTATTCTGTGGGCTTTCTAGAATGGACGTGAGCATCCGAGGTATCCAGGCAGTACCGACTTCTGGCTGCTGCCGTGCGGCCGGTGCGTCTGCCCGCGTCCCAGGCATGAAACACGGTGAACCTGCTTCAATTTTTCTAAGATAGAATCTGTAATAGACTCAGGTGTGCTTACATTGTTGACTCTAAAATTTGTATCGATGGGAAACGGGAAGGAGCGCGCCGGCCCGTGCACCGTGGGCCTGGACTCGCCTTGGGGCCGCCTGCCAGCTGACCCCGTTCTCCATGTGCCCCGTAGCGGATGATCGCCGAGGCGCACCGGCGCGTGGTGCAGGAGTACCTGCGGGCCGTCCTGCAGAAGCGCATCTCGTTCCGGAACGCCGAGGAGCGCAAGGAGGGCGCCGCACGCTTGGGGCGGGAGGCCGAGCAGCTCCGCTTCCTCTTCCACAAGCTGGCTGCCGGGTTTGGTGAGGAGATGGACGGGCACTGTGACACCATCGTCGCCGTTGCCGAAGTCATTAAGCTCACGGACCCTTCTCTGCTCTACCTGGAGGTCTCTACTCTGGTCAGCAAATACCCAGACATCAGGTAGCGGCAGGGTCACTCCTGAGGCCGCTGGGCAGAGGGAGGGTCCCGGGCATTAGGTGGGAGCCTCCCGGGTGAGTGTGGCAGGTCCGGGCTCCTGCGAGGACCCCAGATGCCGTGCGGACGGCGATGCGGGCAGAATGGGTTTCAGAGATGACGGTGGTGCCCGCCAGCCCCACCGCGGGTCACGGTTCCCGGGCGTCACCAGGCCACGCCTGGTGCTCGGGGCGCCGATGGGAAGGTGGCCGAGCAGACTGGTTTCTGGAGGCTGATCCTCTGCCTTGTGGAGGTGGAACCAGGGAACGGAGCCGGGCCCCTCCTGCGTGTGGGGGAAGGAAGGGAGGGGAGCGGCTCCCTGGCGCTGGCTTCCCGCCAGCCTTTGTGAACCTCCAGGAACCCTGCCGCCCGGTCGGGTGGGTTGGGGGGGCTTGAGTCGGCTTTGGAGGCTGAGTGGCCGTGGCTGCACCCTGACGCCCCCTCCCCACCCCCAGGGACGAGCACATTGGCGCGCTGCTGGCCGTGCGGGGGGATGCCAGCCGGGACATGAAGCAGACCATCATCGAGACGCTGGAGCAGGGCCCAGCCCAGGCGAGTCCAGACTACGTGCCCATCTTCAAGGATATCGCGGTTCCTAGCCTGAACGTGGCCAAGCTCCTCAAGTAGCCAGCGGGGCCCCCCACCAGGTGTCAGCTGCGTGTCTGGGGGCGGCCTTGTCTCAGGAGAGCTCCCCCTCGCCTCTGTGCTGTGTACACACTTGTGAAACTGCTGCTCGGTAGAGTCTGGACTTCTGATGGGACGTGAGGGCTTCCCGCTGTGAGGGTCTCTTCCTGGTGATGAGCCAGCCCGCTGGGGGGTGGGCGCACTGCTCCCTCCCTCCCTCCCTCCCTCCTCCCCCCTCGCATGGGGTCACACATGCCACCGGGTGGGTGTGGCGCGTGAATCCCCACCGCCTGCAAATCCATCTTACTTTTCCACCAAGTGAATTGCAGAGTCACACCCTGAGTAAATGGTGAGCCCCGTGTGGTCCCTACCCTCGCCGCCGCCCCACTGGACAGGTTTCTCGGCAGCCGAGCTCCGAGGGAACCACGGGGATGGCTCCAGTGTTCACCCCGTTCCTCCTCCCGTGCAGGACGTGGCGTGTGCAGTGCTGGGCTGCTCTGAGGGTCCCAGTTCCTTCCTCACAGGCTTTCAGGATGGAAGAGTGGATGCTGTACTCTTATTTTCTCCTCACGAGGGGTGAAAAATTCATAGGTGGGACTTTTTTCTTGGAAGAATCGAAACCTAAGTGGAGACATGAGGGTGTTCTTACAAGTGTTGCTCAGAAGAGACGTGATCTTCCTCGAGGCTTCTTGCCACTGTGCTGTCTGTTAATACACACGTTAATCAGTTCCCTGTGTGACGAGACTTAGTGTCTAGTAGGTAGCGGGGCTCAGTACACAGTTTTTGAATTAATAAAGTCGACTGTTAACAATCGTTAGTCATTGTCCCTTACGATAATGAAGATTACATTTATTTTTCCACTGGCTGAGAGCATTTTCACTCTGAGTTACTTCTGGAATAAATACCCGGGGTGACTCTTCACAACAGCAGACCCAAGTGACCTGTGCTGTCCTTGCTCTGATTACACAGTGGTCACCACAGGGCAGGCAGGGCCCTCGGTCGCTGGGGACACCTGTGCGATGGTGGGCCCCAAGCTGAATGCCAGATGCCACCATGTTCCAGCGGGGCCAGGATGTGCTAGGAGGTGTGGTGAGGGCCACGTCCCGGTGGGTGGGCGGTGGCGTCCACACCGGCACCTAGGGGAGGGTCACCTCCAGGTCACTGGGCGAAAGGCTAGCAGGCACCCACACCGAAGGCCAGCGCCTGCCTCTTGATCAGGCTGCCACGTGCCCGGCGGGGGAAGTGGGTGTACCAGGACGGACAGCCTGCGGCCCACACCGGAAGGCAGCTCCACCTTGTCGGGCCGTGGCAGACTCTCCGAGTCTTAGGGCGGTTCTCCCTATAAACTGCCGTTCAGTCGAAAAGCGTCTTTCAAGTCAGGAAGTTTCCAACTCTGTTTTACTCAGCGGGTTTCCAAAAAGCAGGGGAGAGGGGCGCCTGACCCTGTGTGTCTGTCGCACTGCCTGGCGTGCTCTCCCCCTGCACCTGCCCACGTACGGTCCACGCTGCCGTAACAAGGACACCCCACGACGGATCCCGGAAGCAGGGGGTTTCTTCCTTTCCCGAGGAAGTCAGTCGGGGCTGGGGGGCAACACGGGGGCTTCCAGCTGCCCCGTGCACCCTCCTGCGTGGGCAGCCAACGTGGAAGAGTGGAGGTGGGGCCCCTAAGCAGACGTGGCTGTCCCGATGAGGCGACGCCACGTGGAGACGGGGTTGTGGTGAAGCGGCCGCCCGCCTCGGAGTGCCGGAGGCTGAAGCGGCCCCGGGTGGCGCGGCCCTGCCCTCACCTGATGCCGATTCCCTGCAGTAAGTGTTGTTTGAAGCCACCTGCTTTGTGATACTTTCTTATCCCAGGGAGCGAGGGGAGCCGCAGGAAAGAGCCCCCTCCTTGCTGGAGTCTGTGCTTTCCAGCAACATGGAAAGGGCTGTAAATTTACTGGGTAGAGGCTCCTCTTGGAAACAGTATCTGTGGACTCCACGTGGACTTGCTCTTTTGTTTTTATAGTAAAATTAAAATTTTTAACTATTAAAATCAAAGGCTGTCTCTGGCAGGGAGGCCCCAAGGATGACCTGCAGGAGACGACCCACAGCCCCGGGCGGCTCCACCTGGGGGACGGGGTCCGCCCACTTGGCTGCCTCCCCCACCAGCCTCCTCTCAAGCCTGCAGAGCCGCCTCCTTGCCCCCCCCAGGCTCTGGAGCCCGCTGTCCCCACCCACCTCTTTCCAGCCCCAGGCCCACGCCTGCGATAGGTGCCTGGTCCTCCCACTCTGGCCGGGTGGGCTGCCCCTGCCCCAGAAGCCAGAGAGTGGTGCATGTCCAGTCTCTGCTGAGGAGGGACTGGCTCCCAGGGCCCAGGCCGCGCCGCAGCCTCTGCGCTACCCCTGACCCTAACGCGCACGCGGGCGCACACGCACGCACAGGCGCGTACGCGTTAATTTCAGGGCCAGAAAACAGTCTGCCTGCCGAAGACGGCTCCTTAAAGCCTCCTTGATATGAACTCTCACTTGTGAACAAAGTTTTCTCCCAAACGCCTTGAAACATTTTTAATGGACTTGATCAAGCAGGCGTTGTAGGGTCTGCGGTGGGCGCTGCCCAGACGCTGCCGACAGTACATGGGGCAGGACTTTGATAAGGCACGTGGATTGTGATTCGGGTCACACAAAGCTTGACTAGATTACATTCACAAAATTAGCATTCACAATCTTCACCACTCATAGCTTAAAATACATTCCAATTCCAGTTTCAGTGAAATTTCTCCATTAAATCTCCTTTAACAATAGAGATCAATAATAGTACACAGTATGCGAGCACTGTAGCTACAGAAGTGAGAGTGACCCCTAAATTTGTGTACTTTATGGTCTACCACAAAGTAGGCCAAAGTTCAGCATTAAATAAGAATTCTTTCCTAATAAAAAATTTTACAAGTTTTCCTAAGGAAATACATTCATAAGACTGTTTACATTCTGTTTTACAATGATGAGGAACAGCTAGGATTCTCATTTATGAAATGTATCCACAGTACTAGGGTTTATAACACGGTGTCACAGACCAAACACAGTCTTTCAGGTTGAAATGTCCGGCCTGGAACCTTCACTCCACGATGCCGCGCTCAGCTTGTGCCAGTCACAGAGAGCCTGCCTCCCAATCCCAGAAAACACCCGCTGCAGAGCGAGCCCAGGAGAGGTTGGCCACCTGCAGGTTTACTGTCTACTGTGTCTAGTGGTCGTCCAGAGCTGCTCTTCCCGGCTCAGCCTCTGGCCCTGCAGCCAGGAATCAGATCTGGGTCCAGCGGTCCAGGGGAGTTAAGGCAGCTGGAGATGCCGGGCTGGCTGGGCTGTGGAGTCTGGACCGGCCAGCCTGCTCTGGATGAACCACTCCCGCAGCGAGTGGACGGAGTATGTGCCTTGGTCTGTGGGTCAGACAAATGGCTGGCTTTTGTGCTCACAGAGTGGGTCAAAATGGCTGCGAGTGTGGGGACAAGTACTGCAAACCGTGTGTCACTCCTGTCCTGGTGACGGCTGAGCGAGCGGCTCACGTGGTGAGCAGATCTGCACATCAGCCTACAGACCCAGAAGCCACCATACTGAGACTGGGGTGTCTGCGGGGCGAGGGCTGGGCTCTGGGAATCTCAGCACAAAAAGGATGAGCAAACGAATGTTTCTGCGGTTGTACCTACAGTCCCTAAGGTGACAGGTGGTGGTTCAAAGACCTGGTGAGTGGACACGAAGATATCCCGCATCCCACCCTGGAGTCGGGGCTGCCCCAAGGTGAGAAGCCTGGGGGCTTTGGGAGAGGCCAGCCTGGCCTGGAGTCCCTGGGTGGGTATCACAGTGGGCAAATCTCATCTGGCTTGGGTCTCAGTTTCCCCAGCAGTGATGAGAATGGACACCGGTGGCAAGAACTCAAGCACAGACTGTCCCTGAGTCAGGGGTGACTGTGGAAACAGTAACACACAAGTGCCGGCTCAGCTCAAATCCAGGACGGGACAGAGGGCCCACAATGGAGTCTCCCGGCAAGGGCACCTGCCCAGGCCTCCCAGAAGGTGGAGGAGGCTCACGGCCCACTTCCTGGCCCGCAGCGGCCTCTCCGCAGGAACCCTATGCAATGCCGAGGTTCAGGCCTTTGCTGCACATCTGGTCCCCTGGGAGTCCAGCTCCTGTCCACCCCAGCACCCAAGTGGATGGGTGAGTGTCCAGGGCTACTCCAGGCGACCGGAAGACCCCTTGGGAGTGAGGCCATGGAGGGCACGACCCCAGGCGACACGGCCATGGGAGCAGACCCCCGGATGGGCGGCTATGGCAGGGTAGAGACCCCTGGAAGGCGAGGTCGTGAGGGTCGAGGTTATCGCCTGGGGCGAGGTAATGGGTGCAGATCCCGGGAAAGCCGCCGTGACGAGGGCGGAGACCGCCCCCCGAGGGGCACGGCCATGTGGGGGGTGGAGACCCCATGGGGGCGCGGCCGTGGGGCACACCCCGGGGGCGAGGTCGTGCGTGCAGACCCCCGGTGGGCGGCCATCACAGCGGCGTTTCCTCCTGCTCCAGCGCGTGCGGCGGCGCGTAGCACGACGGCTGCAGCGAAGACAGCTTGAGCAGCGCGGGGCGGCGGCGCGCGCGGGGCCGCTGGAAAGAGCGCCGGCTGTGCACGCGGCGCGCCGCCGCCGACCGCGCGTGCGCGCCAGGTAGCCCGCGGCGCTCTGGCCCCGTCCCCGGAGCAGGCCCGGCTCCCGTACCGGGGCCGGGCGGCGCAGTGGGCGGGGCGTTCGCGGGGCTGGGCGGGGCCGGGCTCGGGGCACGCACGCGCGGGGTCTTTTCGGCGGCGGGCTGGGCCTCGCGCGGGGACGAGCGTCCGGTCAGCGGCGCGTCGGAGCCGGTGTCACCTGCGGGAGAAGCCGGCGTGAGCGCGCGGCAGCGCGGCGCCCCCAGCCCAGGCGGGACCGGGGGCCACACCCCAGGCCCGAGGAGGGTGCGAGGCCCGGAGGCGAAGCCGCGGGAAGAAGACTGCC